GTGATACGGGCCACAAATTCTTCATCAAAGGTTCAAAATCCAAACAATGGAATTGGATTATTATCGCCGAGGGAATAATTAAATAAAACGGCGAGTAAGTAATTACTCTGGGAATAATTACGAATTGTAATTCAGAGATGCAATTAACATCGAAATGGATGCATCGCGGCGCCATATGCGGCGTGTACTGTTTTTCCATTTTGATAACACTATGTTTAGGGAAATCATATTATTGATGCTTTCAACACGGTGGCAACTATTATCAGAGTTGTATGTTATTGCCAGCAATAAATTATCTCTTACCACGTTATTACATATATTAATTGACTTATTACTCGTGCAATATAAACGTAGCTGTATTATAATCATTAATTTCATTGTAATAAAATCTTATCAAATTTGTCCTTTGAATCCGTTTATATTTTCACATGTTTTTACAGTTTGTAATTAATTGTAAATAATCTCATTTAATTTAATTTACACAATTTTAATTTTTAATTCTTTTTTAACCTTGTAATGTCTCTATTTCGCTTCTTCCATTTAGAATTTTGATAGATTAAAAATAAATTTAAATATCTGCAAAAAATAATTATATAAACATTTTGATTTTCTTTCTAATGCCCGTATTTTACAATTTTATCGAAAATTAAGCGACTAGTCTTCATCAGATAATTTCTACAAAGACTAAAGACCTTTTCGCTCGTTCACGATTAGATAGACGCTGTTTACAAAGGGCTTGAGAAAAGCCGATTAAGGAAAGTTGATTTTTGCTCCCGTGCCTCGTAAAAATATCATTGTCCTACAATAGGTTCTACATTGTAGACAATGTAAATTGACGAAAAACATTCCAGCCACTTGTTTACTTAAGTACCAAAGAGTCATAGATTTTGCGAATATACGCTCAGTTCTAGTTGACTCTTTAAATTTCGTATATTAATCTGATTCTATAAAAACATACATTTTCTTACACAAATAATTTCGTATAATATATTCCGTAAAAGTTTCAACAATAAAGTTTGATATTTTATTCTTTTAACATCGTATTAAGATGCATAGATTTATAACAATTTATAAACGTTGCATCGCAAACTAAATATTAATTATCGTTTAAAAAATCACAAGTTTTACATTACAAGTTTTACATTAAGTTTCAAATTTTCTCCGAAATTTTGATATTAAACATCGTATTGTGTACAGTCGTGATAGTTTGCCTAACAATAAGATGTTCTGCGATGCGCATTAGGAATAAACGAGACGACTCCGCGATGCGTTCTCTTCGCATATTCGTCACTGTTATCTTGTCATATCAGATAAAAATTTTATCCGTTCTGAATAAAAGTTTTAAAGTCTAGATCAGAGTCTCTCTCTCATATGTGGCAGATTGCCAAGTCTGCAATGTTTCCGGCATACGGAAAACTATTGGAATCCATTCGCGTATGAACTATTGGCAAATACATTATCGAGAGGAAACGAATAGAGTCAGTGAGCCGCAATCTCATAGCACTGGTAGATCAATTAAATAATTGCGCGGAAATAATTTTTTTTTTTTTTTGCGGAACGTCGAACTTGTTCTAACGCGATTATATTCGCGTTTAATTGGAAATCGAGATATTTTATAAATTTTTGTTTAACTAAGCAAACCGACCAGTTTATGATTCTTTATAGATCTTCGAGATTTTAGAATTTAAATAAGAATTATATTTGATCTTTGCTATGCACTCTGTACCTTCTATGAAAATTTGCTTTTATGGAAATTCCAATCTGCTCGATAAAAGAACTTCGAAGATACTGCGAAACATACGAGTTTATTCTACATCGCCGCAAATACGTATGTTCTCAGATACGTTTTCCAGATGCATACACACTTACGTATAAAAAGAGCGGAAAGAAAATGTTTAAGAGAGATAAAACGATGGAAGAAAAAGAAAGAAAGTCTCCTTTCTCTAGACGGTAAAATCGGCAGCCGTTCAAATATAAACCAAAAGCACACGCATTCTGAAATTGATTTTGTGAACAGCTTCTGGGATTACAGATAGAGCAAGCAAACATCTTTATGATTATGTAATCATATATGTAGGAAAAGAAAGTATATGAAAACTACCTCGAAGTTCACGAGTATCTCACAAAATAAAAAAATCTGCAATTTATATTCTACTATCTTTATTATTATCATTAATATCAAAATTTCTCTCGATAATTAATCTTTATACATAAAAAAATCTTTATACATAAAAAATAAAATTAAATTAAAAAAACCATAAAATTCTGAAAATTCCTGCGTATTCATTAAAGAGCGGAGATTCGCCAAATTTTAGAATAAAGTGACCTGGTATTCGCAAAGTTCTTGAGAAGCTGAGCGTCGTTGTAACAATCGCGTCTACCTCGACGTCGAAAAAGCTCGGGGTCTTTCCGGTCGGTTTCGCGCAACGATCCGCGATGTTTTTCCGCGCGAGTCGGCCGCGGGAAATCGATGAGAAGCGTAAGGCGCGACTTGACTGCAGTGTCGTCGCTGGATGGTGGCTCGTCCCGTCGCGGCGAATTTCTTCTCGAAAAGCCATAAATAAAGAAAAAATAAAGAAAATGCCGGTATTCATGCAGCGTACAAACCGGGTTTATGGCGGGACAGGACTCGCTCGGCTTCGCCTCGTTTTGCGGATATAGCGAAGTAACTCTCACGGCTTATTTAGCCGTCTCGCTTTTACTTTCGCCCCGGCCACCCCACGGGTGCATCCCCTGTTCCGCCTTTTATCGCAGCACCGAAAGCCAAAAAGAATGGCGAGTTCACTGACCTCTCATACCTCCCGGACTGTGTTTTCGTGTGTCGTGATTATCGGCACAAATAAACAAACCGTCGCGAGATTCATTTTCACGAAGAAACCTTCGCATTTGGTGCGCTTTGATTTTTAAAATACACCATGGGAATAATTCGAAATGAATGTATTTTTTGTATTTTTGATAACGTCGTATCAGATCGCTTTGTTTTCGCAGGCGTAACATCGCGATACGTTACAAAATAATTTTAAAAGCAAAAGCTCTTTTAACATCTAAAAAAATTCCTTGATAAACATTGAAGTTAAAATTATGAATTATTTTCATGAAAGAGAAAATTACTTTCTTAAATATCAACTATTCCGTAAGCTCCGTAAGAGAGCTAAATTAAAATAAATGTTAATTACATTTATTAAGTATTGCATTATAATAAAGTTTTGTACTATATTTGTTAAAAAAATATATGAATTAGATGAAAATATATAAAAAGCAAGCCTTTTTATCTAAAATCAATATATCACACTGAAAATTCTATTGCAGTTTTTTAACCGTTGTTAACAAAAATCGTCTTGCAAATTTTAACTTTGCTTTGATATAATTAATTAAAGAGATTCTGCAACGACACGCTTTTACAAATGCGAAAACGAAACTCGAATGCGGAACATTTTATCTGTAAGGAACTACTTGGCGCGAATCCATTTTATGTCGAATGAACGGATACGTATCCCATGCAAATGAGCATAAATTTCACAAGGAATTTATTTCATCGCACCGTTCCAACATTATTTTTCACGTCTGGAAAAATGTCTAGCTACGCGGTATTCGCTCCGCGAGAAAAATCGTTCCTTCATGTCAAAATGCACGCAACGAATAACATAAGATTATGACGCACACTGTTGCGCGCGATATATGCATCAGAGGCAGGGTATATTCCGCATTTTCCTAAGAATACGCATTTATCTTTTCACTCTCGCGCGAAACCACCGTCAGCGACAGGAGCGATGCAGCGGTCACACAATAGATTTTATTTGTCTATAAAATTCATCATAAAACAGACTATTTAGCGTTTCATTCGTTTGAAATAATAGCCATGTATATTTCCGTCGATATCTGAAGACGTAAAACGATTTATAGAAAAGACACACCGTACCGTTAATTTTACCATTATCGGTCGCATTTGCATTATTATTATTATGCAATATTGCCTTTATTCCATATGTACTCTCAAAAAAAATATATCAAATATTTAATCTAATCTCTTGTAGACGCACTAAATCTAGAAACAAGAATAATTATTTGATAAATAATTATTCCTGACTGTAGATTTACGTCTACAAAAATTCTGATGGTGAAATGACTATTGAAATTGAAATCGTATTTTCAAGGTGATCTGTGCCATTTCGTTGATGCTTTTCACCTTAAAACGTGACTCTTTCCAAAAGTCAACGATGTAACTTAAACTTGACAGCGAGGCACGTGTATCCGTTCATTGCGTGTTTAAGCCGCAAAACAGTCGGGGTATGTACAAGAATGACGAGTGGCTTTCACGTCTGCGAATCACATTCAAATAGATTGAGTCAGTTTGATCTACGCGACTATTTGAGAACGGTGATCTCAAGTGCGACGGTTAAGTCCAAGTCGTGAGATTCGCCAGCCGTGGAGGCCACACAACGACGAAATTTCGTGGAATCGCGCTCCCTCGACTTTAGGATGGGATCTAAGCCTCGTGATTCCGCGTGGATGAATCTTAAGGTATGTCGGTTCCTTCAGCAGAGTGCGAACGACAGGGATCCGCAACAAAGACGACGATACTCCCGCGAATCTCGAGAAGTCTTTGTGCGATCGTTTTGCACGATCGTGAGAAATTGGTCTTCGAAATTTTGCGAATTTTACAGACGACCTAGTTTCTCACATAATTTAAACTCTGAGAGAAGTTTGACTAATACACAAAAGGATCATTTCGACCTTCTCTATAAAGATATATATTAACTCATAATTATTACGGATAAAATTTGGTCTCAATATGTTAAATATGCGATTTCGATTGTAAAGGTAAATAATCTCAAATTGATTGAAAGTATATTTTTATGCATATATTGTAAAATAATATATAATATATATAATTTAATATTTAATATCTAAAAAAATACGCGTACATACACACACATTTGTTTTAATATTAAATATACATATGAAATACGTGTATATATATATAAAATGCTAGAAGTAATTGCATTGCTAGAAATTGAGAATAAAGAATAAAGAAAGTGCAGAAACTTTTGAGAAGAGTAGGACTTTCCTTTGCAAGACTAGCAAATGCTTCGATATCGCGAAAAGTGCAACCATGCGGGTAAGGCCTTAGAAGGCAGCTTTAAATTTTTTTCGCCAATGGGGGAGATGAGAAAAGAGTGCGAGATTGTTGGCGGTCGGGGATGGCGGCGGGATACCGGTAATCGTGATATAACCGCTCCTAAATGCTGAGTTAATGATCAAATCCGAGGGAAAGTTCTCAGACGCGGAACGCGGGTCGAAGGCGGCGAGGTAAGACGGTGCGGAATTAAATTCGTGCGCAGTTTGTAATTTGCACGCGGCCTGGTGTGGCGCGGCTTCTCCCGGCTATCTCCCGTCTCTCGGAGCCGAGATTAAAATGCAAATCCGAACTTGAAATCGCGGAAATAAATTTGAGATATGATTGTCGCAAGCGCCGTTGAGACATGGCTCGTTTACTTACAGAGTCTCCAGATTCACGATCCTGTAATGGGCCAAGTACGTATGACGATACAGCTGAAACAAAATAAAGAGAGATATTTCATTCAACTTGCTAAAATTAGTGAGACGGAATTAATAAAAGGGCGTACATATAAAGCTGTTTCATGCAAAATTTTTCACTCCATATATCACGAGACGAATGCTATGTAGTATTTTTTTACTAATTTCAAGAAATGATTAGAGAATTGAATTTTTAATATTATTATTCGTTATTTTTTTTTATTTTTCTCGCTTTAGTCTTAAAAAGAAAAAAAAAAAAAAAAAAAAAAAACTAGAATCAAGTATCTTTTCGTGTCGGACTCTTGTGAGATTTTATCCATAACTTTTCTAAAAGGGTCACGTTTTTTCGGCCCTCTAGACTTATTCTTTCCACTACGATGATTGATTTTAGGAACACGTCGTACGCTTCCGATAAACCGATAGTGGAAAATATCGATCGGACTGTTTGCGAGGGCAATGCCATTCAAGTGATGGAAATTTCTGCTTCTGAATCCGCGGCGTTAAAAATATCCGCTTCCGTGCAAGGCATCTGAATGTGGCCGAGAATACGGGTGACATAAAATACGATAACATGCCACCCGTATTCTATTTCGTTACCGCATTTTGCCCTGGGTTTCCCCGACGGTTTCTAGCGTCATGCGTTGGTAGCTATAAAAACCTCTCGCTCGTGTTATTCGCGTCATTCACGTGGCACAGATAGAGCGGCAAAAATATAATAAAGTTGGCGCTGATAAAAATACGCTCCTTCTGCTAGTACTTTTCACACCATCCATGAGATTAACGTTTAAAATAAATGGAATAAGCGCGACATGACGCGCAATAGCGTTAATACGCAACAAGATTAACATACATAATGACGTAACATGATAACTGTAAATCATTAATCGCCTTGGATGATTAAAGTATTGTTGTACGCACATAAGAATAATGTGTAATAAAGATATTCGTTTAAAAGCAAAATTTTCTAAATGACAATACGTATTAAATTTTTAATTAATTGATTTAATTAATTTCATTTCCACGTACATGTTTTTAATTATAATCATTTTGTACAGACTAAATATTATATTTTTAATTATATATATAAATTATTGTTATCGCAGTGCAAAAATCGTTATCAATATATCGAGGGATAATTACACATTACTAATTTTACAATTATAAAATATTTACAATTATAAAAATACAATTATAAAATATTTTACACTTTGTATTTTTAAACCAATGAAATGAATATATTATTGTAACTGTAGACAAACTTGAAATTTTCCGCAAAAATAATATAAGCGCATTGTTCTTTGTTTTTTTTTTTATTATTATTATTGAATATTGAATTCAAATTAGCTGGAACGTGCTAAAAGAGGAAAAAATAAATTTCGACAGTACATTTTTATTGAGTATGATTCGATTAGCCATTCGAGCTTGCAAACTTCCCTGCTGTATCGTATAACACCCTTAAGGTTGCTCGCCTCTTAAAAAGTCGTTTAACTCGACCGTACCTCACATTCCTTATGGTTTCCCTTCCTGTGCACATTCTCTGCTACTAATAATAATCATAGCAATAAAAGCAATAAACGGCTAACCGTGCATCTGAAGTTTAAACAGCAACCGGTGAAACCAATATCAACGAGCGTACGAATTCGCTGGCGAGGACCTAAACCACGCTTAGAAGTTTAATGATCAAACTTTGCGATCGTGCAACGAATCGTGACTCGCGAAAGTTCGGGGGGAGGACACGTCTTTTACCTAGGATTCTAATTTTATCAATAAATATCTTCTTTTCACGCTGAATTACATCCGAATTTTAATTAAACATATAGAAATATCTCTGTGCACCACAACAACTATCGTTGGTTATATTTATACGTCACTTATGGTACTCATGTTAAAGAATCGACTTCGACAACGAACTGCTTTACAAAAGAAGAAATGCAATTTACACATGACAAAAATGTATCTTAGTTTCATTTTATTATTTTTTAATTTTAATATCTTTTACTTACACGATCTGACTCGGGCACTCCCTCTTTCTCTTCTTGATTTAACTGTCGCAGCCTGTCTCTATCCTATTTATTACTATTTTTATTATTTTTCTTCCCCGATATCCTACTTGTTTCGAATTCGCGAGTATTTGCACGTTCATCCGTGTCTGATGACGCGTTAAGTGATTGAGAGAACTAATATTATACGAAACAACAATATCGCTGGATACACACCCACAATGATTAGAGGGACTATCGGTGTGTTAATTGGCAGCGATCGGCGAGTGTGTGTTCGCGGTGGCTGGAAACGGTCCAGCCACGGCGATATTCCCACGGGAACATTTCGGAGAGCCAGGGAGATCCGGACGGGCGATAGAGAGCGAGCGGGCCGACCGTCGAGCGGACCATCGACAGTGCCCGGCGATACGGAAGGATTCATGGTGCTCGCCGCGCGCTATTTTGCCTCCATTAACTCTTTCGCGGCGCGCCTATAAATCATGGGCTCGTCTGATAAGGTCGTGCAACGCCATTTTCACGTGTTGCGGCCGCATCCGCTATCGGCCGCGGGTTCGTTTCCATCGCATTATTCCCACCTTCAACACTACGTCGGAGCGCGTTGCCCTCCCTCCCCATTAACCCTCCCTCCAACTTGATGTTACAATATTCTTATAAATATGAGCACGCTGTGTTTCTTCAGCAATATGCGATACGTTGCCCCCATAATTTCAGATTCGTCCGAATATCGAGCTCGACTTATGGATATGCTTTATAAATCGAAGATTCAAATTATTTTAACATCGTTTGCGATTTTTCTGGATTAATAGGTAAAAAGGAAGAATAGTATTTTATCATACAATATTTTTATTATTTAACCCATTTATTAGGGTTCCTGTTTTTTTCTTAATTCATTTTCTTTTATATTTTTGTTCTGGAAAAAACGCGATATACATAAACCTAATTATATGGAAGTAACTCGTAAAGAGGTCAGATAATTTTTATATGATTTGCGAGTAAAGTTAAGATTTAAGATAGCACAACTGAGAGATTGGTTTTACGAGTTGAAAACGAATTAAATGATTTTGTATAGATCGGAAGGATTCAAAAAGTGACAAATTGGGATTTGTCTAGAATCTATCTATTATTCGATAACTCGAAACAAATGATATAACAACAGAAAAGTCAATATAAAAGTGAAGAAAAACATTCTTACGTCGCTTATATAAAAATTAAATAATCATGTAATCCGAACGCGATTATTAAGGCGCGATTTGAAATTTCAAGACATCGTTCAATAATTACAATTATGTCATAAGATTTATCACATATCGATACAGGTATAATTTTCGAAATGAAATTTAACATCTAAAAACTCTCCCCGTATATCACCTGAATCACATTTCGCCGCATTATAGAGAGCCCCTGCGTCAGTATTTTTTATAGTACATCGTTTGTATTCCGCCAAATTAAGCTGCGCGATAGAAAAAATGAAAAATGAATTCTACAGTGAAACTCATGTTAGAAATTAATTAATCAAAGTTCGCGTTATGAATCGAAAAATGATGAGCCACGCTTCGTCATTATTGTTGATGCGATTGAAACGTGGGATGGTACAGACTGATGGGTGGCTGATATATTCTTTTTCAAATATTTCTGCAACGAATTTTAAAAAATTTCAGCTCGTTAATGCAACATCGAAAATTAAACAAGTCATCGTATTTTTTCCATAATATTAAAATTTATAAATATTATACGATAAAAACGCGCAAAAGATGTGTGTATAATCTATCGACATTTTTTTTCCTCTCTACTTCATACATATTAAATCATAAATATATGCAAGATGAAGATGTAGAATAATAATACAAATTTACAATTCCAACAATTCAATACAGCTTCATTGATTTTATCGCTCTTCTCTACAAGCGGACACGAAATGCGGAATCGCCCAAGTTAAACTTATGAGAGAAAATAATTTATTAATTTATTTTATCTTCAGCTGACTTTTATTTAACCTTAAACAATGGATTACCTCATAATTTCAAAGAAATGTAATTATGTATGTACAATGTGTTGTATATTTAACGTCAATTTTTAGCGGATGTTTTCTAAGTAGTAATAGCGCAGATACAAAAGCAAATAAAAATTCGCAAAACTCTCTCTAGTCGAGTGGCAGAAAACAAAAGATTCGGCGGACGATTACTTCATTTTCAGCGGTTGGCTTGGCATGAACCGTATTATATAAAATTGAGAACACCGCTATTTCCCGCTACGTACAGCACCGGCGGGAATACGAGAGGCGGAAAGAGTTTGAAACAGGATTTAATGTTTCTTGCACGGGGTTACAGCAGTTTTCCCGCACGCGCAGGAGTAATTTCTAACGCGGAATTAATTCCCGTAGCGCTGCGGGACACGCGTTCCGTTCTACCGGAAGCACGGCGTTCGCTTCGATTCGCGCGGTTTAAGCATGGGTAGGCAAGAATAGCCTGTGAGAAGGGCGGCATTGTTTGCACGGATATGCGCAAACACGTACGAATAAGCGAGCGATCGTAATCTCCGTGGAGAAATTTATTTTACACGCTGCTGACTAGACAGTTTTTCACATCTCCATTTTTATCCCTGATACAAAAAAAAAAAAAAAGGAGAAAAGACTTACGTATATTTAGACTTATGTATAAATTTAACAAAAAGAATTTGCACGATTGTATAATTTCTCCAGAGTTTTTCAGACTCGTCTCGTATCGCACTTCTGACTCGACATTTATTTGTCAGGCGAATAAAAATCGAATTGTGAAACGAACTATTCAATTCGGATTTATCAGTTTCCCATTAAAAGCTTTTTCAACTAGTAAGAAATAATATTATATAGATCTATTTTATTATGGATTTTGATGCGTATTCTTGATGCATTCAAGCATCCGGATGATAATCGGATTAAATACGTTATTGCCAATAGTGCCGTAACTATATTAGGACAAACCCAACGAACGGTTCGCTTGATGATCCAAAGTTAAGCAGCTTTGACGATAATTTGTG